GTGTGTGTGTGTGTGTGTGTGTGTGTGTGTGTGTGTGTGTGTGTGTGTGAGTGAGTGAGTGAGTGAGTGAGTGAGAGAAAAGAGGAAGTTGTGTTTAAGGTGTGGGTGAGTGCTTGTGTGCACATGTACAGCTGTATGCTCTTGAGAAAAGAAAGAAGTCTTTCAGTGTATCACCGTGGGGCAGAGCGAGGCTTTTGTGTTTCCACCCCTCTGGATGAGCCAAAAAATTCATGAGCTCGCTATCCTGACTTGTGAAAAAGATGGCGTCCACCTCCGGGGCCCCCACGCGATGGCATTGCTTTCACCCCCACATACACACCACATGTAAAACAGCCTCAGGGCTTTTAATCATCTAGTTCGCTGAGGCCAAGTGAACCGTGCTTGATTGGTATAAAATGAGGCCGGTAGATATCAGAAGACCTACATGGCGCCTCGCTTGACGTGCGCTGCGTTGTTCACTGGCTGAACCCAACCCCAAGGTGTTTTTTGGCGTTTTGGGTGTGACAGTAGCCCAAAGGTCAGAGAAGTGGGTCAGTAGTAGGGAAAGGTCCTGCCTTTAATCCTCCAGAAAAGTGACTGAGTTACCTTCTATTTTAGCAGTAACAGCTACTGCCGAGGTGCCCGTGAGCAAGGGGCTGTGCTCAGTGGGCAAACGGAGGTCGCGCTGAGCAGATTCCACCGTAAAAGTCTGAAAGTGACGCGGGGCAGTGCTGGGAAAAGAGCTTAAGAGATTTAGCGGGCCTCCCTGTAAATGGCTTGCTCAACAGCACAGCAGGGGCAGGTTTTTAGGGAAATGTAAGTGTTTACTTTCCCAGCTCAGATTGGTATTACTGTCTTAAATACCGTCTTAGATTCTCTCCTTTTTTTATGCATTGCACTTTTCCCAAAATCGCTTCCCATCACTCAGTCGTCTTCTTCCTCGGAGTGAATGTAGATGACCTTCTGTAGGTGGCTCTCTTTTTTTCATTTGTATTTGTGTGCTTGCTGGTCAACTACCTACTAGGTCTTTAATTCTTCCAAATAACACGTACATTTGTCTAAAGTTTAAGCAGCTCTATATACTGTATGTCTGTGTCTTTGTGTAAGAAAAAGTATTTCAGCGGTCCAGTTTCTAACATGTCTCAGTAAGCCAGCCAAATTAAATGAAAATCAGGATTGGCCTTGTGAAGGTTCAAAACAAAGGACCACAGCTTTGGATGCAGGGTAAAGAGGCCAAATCTCAGTGTGTCGGATAAACACTTAATAATTAATTAAACGTTCTGGGCATTTGGTACAAACGTAACTGGCGGATTTCTATCTGCACAAATGGTTTTCCTGCCAGCTATTATGTAATTCTAGTTAAGAGGCTGGTCGGAGACCGGTGCCGAACAGGTGGCGTTTACTGGAGATCAGGCTACCATGTGAAGAATGACGCTGTTCACAGAGCCCCTGTTAACTGCCTCACACACTCTCTCACACACACACACACACACAGATACACACAATCACAAAAACAAACCGTCTGGCGGGTATAAAGGGACATTGAGGCTCGCAGTCACGGCGCACACAGTCGGCTCATTGTGTCCATAGTGTAAGGTGGCTCTTCAGGTGTCGGCTTACCATCCCGTGTCTCTCTGAGCTACTGCCCATGCAGACACAGCATCTGCTCGTCCCGTTCTCTTTAGTGTGTTTGCGTCTGCAGCGTGATGTTGTCCGCTCGGCAGCTCTGTGAAGCTAGGATGAAGATTATTACATGCGTTTTTTATTTATGTCACAATTATGGGGCATCCGCTGCATCTCGCCTGGCGAGACAGTTTACAATAAGACTGTATGTAAGTAGTCATTGTGACATCACACATTAGTTTGTGGACTGAAGTTTGGAAGCCTTGAGTTCGCCGTTATGGCCGTCGCCATCTTGGCTTTTTGCAACCAGTGAACTGAAGTGACCACATTTGGACTGCAGCGGAGTGACGTAGAGTATACGGCTCTGGTAGCGACCTGTCAATCACAGTAAGCTTGCCCTAAAGCATAC